TATACTTATTATAATTAATATTCTAATTTTAACTCTTATGATTCCTTCTTTATTGCTAAAAAAAATGCCTTTACCCCCTTTTTATTTAATCTTCATGCACACATACACACACATATGCATACAGTTACTAAGATGTTGGTATTACTTCCATGACATATGAGGACACAGAGGCTCTGAGAACTGAAGCAACACATCTGAGGTGACACAGACTCTTGTGTTTCAGTGTGACATCACACAATCCCTGTGCTTCTCTGTCATGATCAGTGAGTCAGGCACCCCACAAGGTTGTAGATATCATGAGGATATAGGTGGGTATCTTATTCCCCCAAACTTAATACATATAATAACTTCTCAAAAAATATCTGCCAAGGAATGAGGGAAAGTTCTGCTTTTTATCAAGAATTACAGATAATATTTCTTTTGATCAACATCAGTTCTTTAACACTGCTATATAATCCTCTTGGTAGAAATGAAGAAATGAAAGTGCAAGAAACTAAGCAACAATTTCAAAATCTCACAGGATGAAAGAGGTAATGAAAGGATATGAACAGGTCTATAGAATGATCATCTTGGCAATATAACAGGTCTTCTGGAACTTACTCCAGAGTTCTTCCCAGTAAGCCACATTGAATTTTTTTTAGCATAATTGTACTTATAGATATGAACAAATACTATGCCTATATTACAGGCATTAATTTAGAAATTCTCCTTACACAGATTAGGTGACACAGTGGTCCTGAGAGGGCTAAGAGAACTGCAGGAACCCAAGATAAGGACAAAGAGGCCACAGTGAGCTTGGACTTAGCAACTAAATGGCCAAGATACTACATTGCTGCAGTGGTGTCTGAATGTTGCTCCAAAGAGCCAGAATGAACAAGTTGCACCTCAGTGATCAACATTCCAGAGGCAAGACAAAACCAACCACAAACCACACAGACCAGTGAGTGGTCCTCTCCTGGGTTATCCTGGGATCCCATGGCAACATCTTTGCCTGGAGCACCAAAAGAGAAGGGGAGTATAAATTCTGGAAAACTAAACATTAAAAAAAAAAAGACCAAATCTCTCAAAAGAACTAAAACCAAGATAACTTTCACCATTTAGACGCATTCCTCCTCCCACTCCTGTCTGTGAAGCAGAAGATTGAGTTTCATGAGCAAGATTAGAGTCATTACAGAAAATAAAGAAGCTACATTTCTTCTTTTCTCTTTCTGTTTATTTAACTTTTAAGTTCAGGTACAGGTTTGTGTAGGTTTGTTACATAAGTAAACTCAGATCATGGGGGTTTGTTTTACTGATTATCTCATCACCAAGGTATTAAGCTTAGTACCCATCAGTTATTTTTTTTGATCCCCTTCCTCCTCCCACTCTTTACCCTCAGGTAGGCCCCAGTGTGCGTTGTTCCCCTTTGTGTGTCCATGCGTTCTCATCATTTAGCTCCCACTTATAAGTGAGAACATGTGGTATTTGGTTTTCTGTTCTTGTGTTAGTTTGCTAAGGATAGTGTTCTCCAACTCCATTCATGTCCCTACAAAGGACATGACCTCATTCTTTTTTATGCCTGTATAGTATGCCATGGCATACATATGCCGAATTTTCTTTATCTATACTACCAGCAATGAGCATTTAGATTGATTCCATGTCTTTATTATTGTGAATAGTGTTGCAGTGAACATACTCACGATTTATATTCCTTTGGGTATGTATCCAGTAATGGGATTGCTGTTTGTTTTTAGGCCTTTGAGGAATCACCACACTGCTTTTCACCATGGTTGAACTCATTTACACTCCCACCAACAATGTATACATGTTTCTTTTTCTCCACAACCTTGCCACCACCTGTTATTTTTGACTTTTTAGTAATAGCCATTCTGACCGGTATGAGATGCTTTTGATTTGCATTTCTCTAATGACTGGTGATGTTGAGCTTTTATTCATATGCTTATGGGCCACATGTGTGTCTCTTTTTGAAAAGTATCTTTTCATGTCCTTTGCTCACTTCTTAATATAGTCGTTCTTTTTTCTCTTATTAAGTTCCTTATAGATGCCAGATATTAGACCTTTGTCAGATGCAGTTTGCAAAAATTTTCTCCCATTCTGTAGGTTGTCTTTTTATTCAATTGATAAGTTCTTTTGCTGTGCAGAACATCTTCAGTTTAATTAATTAGATCCCTTTTGTCATTTTTGCTTCTGTTGTGATTACTTTTGGTATCTCTGTCATGAAATATTTGCCCATTCCTATGTTCAGAATGATATTGGCTAGGCTGTCTTTCAGGAGTTTTATAGTTTTTGATTTTACATTTAAGTCTTTAATCCATCTTAATTTTTGTATATCATGTAAGGAATGGGTTCAGTTTCAATCATCTACATATGGCTAGCCAGTTGTGGTAGCACCATTTATTGAAAAGGGAGTACTTTTCCCATTGCTTGTGTTTGTTGACTTTGTCAGAGATCAGATAGTTGTAAGTATACAGCCTTTTTCCTGAGCTCTCTGTTCTGTTCCATTGGTTTATGTGTTTTGTACCAGTACCATGCTGTTTTGATTACTGTTGCCCTGTAGCATATTTTGACGTTGGGTAGCATGATGCCTCCAGCTTTATTTTTGCTTAGAATTGCCTTGGCTGTGGGGGCTTTTTACTGTTGTTGTTCCATATAAATTTTAAAAGAGTTTTTTCTAGTTCTGTGAAGAATGTTATTTGTAGTTTGATAAAAATATTATTGAATCTGTAAATTACTTTAGGCAGTATGGCCATTTTGAACAATATTGATTCTGAGATGTTTTTACATTTGTTTATGTAATCTCTGATTTATTTGAGCAGTGTTTAGTAGCTCTCCTTATAGAGATCTATCACCTCCCTGTTAGCTGTATTCCTAGGTATTTTATTTTTCTGTGGCAGTTGTAAATGGAATTGTTTGTGATTTTGCTCAGTTTGACTCTTGTTGGTGTATAGGAATATTAGTGATTGTTGTATGTTGATTTTGTATCCTGAGACTTTGCTGAAGTTTTTTATAAAGTGAAGAAGATTTTGGGCAGAGACTTTGGGATTTCCTAGATATGGCATCATGTAATCTGCAAACAGGGACAGTTTGGCTTCCTCTTTTCATATTTCAGTGCCCTTTATTTCTTTCTTTTGCCCAGTTGTTCTGGTCAGGACTTCCAATACTATGTTGAATAGAAGTGGTGTGAGTGTCTTGTGCCAGTTTTCAAGGGGAATGCTTCCAGCTTTTCCTCATTCAGTATATATTGGATATGTGTTTGTCATAGATGGCTCTCATTATTGTAAGGTGTTTCTTCAACACTGATTTATTGAACATTTAACATGAAGGGGTGTTGAATTTTATCAAAGCCTTTTCTAAATCTGTTACAATAATCATGTGATTTTTGTCTTTAGTTCTATGTGATGAAGCACATTTATTGATTTGCATATGTTGAACCAACCTTGCATCCCAGGGATAAAGCCTACTTGATCAAAGTGAATAACCTTTTTAATGTGCTGCTGGATTCAGTTTCTGAGTATTTTGTTGAGGATTATTGCATCAATGTCCATCAAGGATATTGGCCTAAAGTTTTCTTTTTTTTTGTTGTGCCTCTGCCAGTGTTAGTATCAGGATGATGCTGGCCTCATGCAATGAATTAGGAAGGATGAAACTGCATTTTCTTATCACAATTGAGTCATAAGATAGAGTTCAGACTTCTTGCATATTTACAGATGACATTTTCTAAAGCTCCTTTAGAACTTATTGGTTAATCCCTACACTGAGAGGATAAAAAGAGAAAATAATTTTTGCAGAAGTTCTATAGATTTGTCTATTACACATTATTGCATATTCATTCAAAGAATATTTTTGATTGTCTGCTCTAAATTAGGCATTGAGCATAGGACAATGAGAAAAAAAACAAAAAGTTTGTGAATTTACTGTGTACATTAAAGGTAAGAAATTTGGTAACTGGTCCAAGGTCAAATAGTTAAACTGTAGAGCAAGGATTAAACTTGGCTAAATCTGACTCCAAAGCCCATAGTTTTTCTGTCTCACCATACTAGTTAAATATGAACTATAAAATCATAGAATTTTGGGTGTAGAGGTGTACTACTCTATTTTTAAGACCAGATGTGCAACTTGTTTTATTTAATAAATCTCTAACCTCCCTTAAAGAAATTTGCAGCCCCATGTCTGTGAATTTGTGTCAGCTAGCTAGTGATGAGGCTAACATTGTTTCAAGAAAACCAAACTGAGCCATAAGAAATTAAATACCACAGTGGCATTTCTAAAGCATTGTCCCTGGACCAGCAGCATCCCCTTACCTGGGGACTTGTAAGAAATATGAATTCTCAGACCACACCCCAGACCTACTGCATCAGAAACTGGGTGTGGCACCCAGCAATCTGTGTTCTAATGAGCTTTCCAGATAATCAAGTTGCACACTACAGTTTGAGAGCCACTGTCCTACAGGCAATGGGGTTCCACTGTGCTAGTTCTCCTGAACCTCAATTTACCTCAGGATCCTTCTCAACACAGAGATCCAAGAAGTCACTAACAGCATTTCTGAATCAGTGTTTATAAAGAGACCTATTTGCCAGTTTTGGGTAGTTCAATCAACAATTTCACTGACAAGAAAATTAGTTGTAGAGAGCAAGAGTTGCATATACAAGCTCACAGAGCAAATCAGTGGCTGAAATTAAGTAGAATCCAGTTGGGTCCTTCCAAACACCACAGTGGTTAGCTAAACCAGTTTCCTGGTGAGCAGAAACAGAAAAACAGGAGAAGGGAAGGAGTTAATAACTTTCATAGCCAAGATGTGGGTTCTGGTTGAGAAACCAGTGCACAACCAGCAGTTGAGAGGGAATCTGACACCTTGATTGGGACTAGAATAGGTCCACATGGAACAAGGGAGGCAAAAGAAATCTGAGCTGAAAATGGAAGGGCATTTCTCCCTTTTACCCTGTTTGGGAGGCCTCCAGCTTCCCTAGATTGTGCTCTGTTTTGCCATGTGGATGAATTACCTCGCTTTGTGCCTACTTCCTGGACCCTCCTCTACCCACAGCTGCTGGATCTGATCTTCATCCATCTTCACCCAGGCCAAGGGCCCCAGGGAGCTCTGGAGAGGCTCTAGTCCACAGTAGTAATAAGAAGCAGGACTTCCAGGAGCTCTACTGCTGCTGAGAGTCAGGTAACACAGTCACCTAATCGTTGTGAAATTACCAGGTGTGACTGAGCAGGTAAAGAATGTTTTGTTTGGCTGAGGATGGAGGACGAGGAAAAGTTGAATCCACCAACTTTTCCAAAGGAGCAGTTATTGCTGTACTGGTTTGTTTTTGTTTTGCCAGATCAATCCAGAATATTCATTCAGTGTATGTATAACAGTGCATTGTCTGAATTGGTAGAAATAAATGGAGTCTTTTCACGTTTGAGTCAGATGCTAGTATTTCATCCCAGTTGAAATTTCCATTATATAACCAGCCTGGTAAGACACTTAATATCTTCAAGCCTCAATTGTTTCATGTGTAAAATTAAGATAATAATTAAGATAATTCCTGCTCTATCTGTATCATAGGATGAAGTCAAGTGAGATAATGGATACAAAAGTGCCTTGCAGTCTGTAAAATATCACACAGATGAAAACTATATGTTACTACTATCACTGAAAATGTCCTTGGCCATGTTATATAGCCCCAATTCAATAGCATGTGTTATGGCTATATCTTAGAGCTTATAATTAAAAGGAAATATTCTACCCCTGACATCCTAAACTCTAATATATAAATCTCTGCCTCTAACTTTCTATTAGTCCAATTTTCCCTTCCTTATGCCTTACACATTATTATTTTTTTTTTTTGAGACAGAGTTTCCCTCGTCACCCAAGCTGGAGTGCAATTGTGCAATCTTGGCTCACTGCAACCTCTGCCTCCCGGGTCCAAGCAATTCTCCTGCCTCAACATCCCAGGTAGTTGGGACTATAGGTGCCCACCACCACACCAAGCTAATTTTTGTGTTTTTAGTAGAGATGGGGTTTCACCATGTTGGCCAAGCTGGTCTCGAACTCCTGACCTCAAGTAATCCTCCTGCCTCGGCCTCCAAAAGTGCTGGGATTATAGGCATGAGCCATCACACCTGGCCACACATAATATTTTAATCTCATCAGTCTTTGACCTTTAATTTCTTTTTTCACTATCAGTTTCCTCCTGCCTGGACTTCCTTCTCTATCCACTGGAATTACACAGTCTATCACTTTAGTCATTTTATTGCTATTGCCATTATTCTCCCACCCTTCTGTCCTCCTACTATATTGTCACCCAGATGCTCAGTCCTTTGTTAATGTGATCATCTACCACCTTGTCTTCTCCTCCCCCTAGTTGCTGAGCATGGTTGGAAGGATTGACAAAATTAAATGAATTTGTGCCACTCCAAATTTATGGGCTTTAAATTCAGGTGGGCCTTATGACCAGAGCAAATATTTCAGATTGTACTCTGGTCAAACAAACTTCATAATTACTGCTTCCCCTTCTCTTAGCAGATAAACTGGTTGACTCTTCAGACAGAAAACTGAGGTGATCAGGTAAGCACTTGAAAACTCTCCTTCCAGAATCAATAAATGTCCATACTGCCCAAAACAAACTACATACTCGATGCTATTCCTATCAAATTACCAACATCATTTTTTCACACAATTAGAAAAAATTAAAATTTATATAGAATAAAAAAATAGCTCAAATAGCCCAAGCAATCCTAAGTGAAAAAAAAAAAAAAAAAAAAACTGGAGCCATTGCCAACTTCTAACTACACTTGAAGGCTACAGTAATATAAACAGTATGGTACTGGTATAAAAATAGACACATAGACCAGTGGAGTAGAATAGAGAGCCCAGAAATAAAAGCACACACCTACAATCAACTGATCTTTAACAAAGTTGGCAAAAATAAACAACAGGGAAAGGACTCCATACTCAATGAGTGGTTCTGGAAAAATTGACTAACCATATGCAAAGAATGAAATAGGACACCTACCTCTTACCATATATAAAAATTAACTCAATATAAATTAAAGACTTAAATGTGTGACCTCAGGCTATAAAAATCTTCAAAGAAAACCCAGGAAATACTCTTGTAGACATTGGCCTAGGCAAAGAATTTATGACTAACTTCTCAAAGCAAATGCAACAAAAACAAAAATTGACAAATGGGATCTAATCAAAGAGCCTCTGCACCGCAAAAGAAACTATCAGCAGAATAAACAGACAACCTATAGAATGGAAGAAAAAATAATCCCAAACTATGCATCTGACAAGGACTAATATCCAGAATCTATAGAGAAGTTAAATAAGGCCGGGAGAAGTGGCTCACGCCTATAATTCCAGCACTTTGGGAGGCCGAGGCAGGAAGATCACAAGGTCAGGAGTTTGAGATCAGCCTGACCAACATGATGAAACCCTGTCTCTACTAAAAATACAAAAATTTGCTGGGCATGGTGGTGGGTGCTTGTAATCCCAGCTACTCAGGAAACTGAGGCAGGAGAATTTCTTGAATCCAGGAGGTGAAGGTTGCAGTGAGCCGAGATCACACCACTGCACTCCAGCCTGGGCCAGGCGAAAGAGCAAGACTCTGTCTCACACACACAAAAAGTTAAATCAACAAGAGAAAAACGACCCCATTAAAAAGTAAGCAAAGGGCCAGGAGCAGTGGCTCACACCTGTAAACCCAGCACCTTGGGAGGCTGACACGGGTGGATCATGAGGTCAGGAGATCGAGGCCATCCTGGCCAACATGGCGAAAGTGTCTCTACTAAAATATAAAAAACTAGCTGGACGTGGTGGCGCACACCTATAGTCCTGGCCACTAGAGAGGCAGAGGCAGGGGAATCGTTTGAACCCAGGAGGCACAAGTTGCAGTGAGCTGAGATCAGGCCATTGTACTCCAGCCTGGCAATAGAGCAAGACTCCGTCTAAAAAAAAAAAAGTGAGCAAAGAACATGAATAGACACTTCTCAAAAGAAAACCTATGAGTAGTCAACAATTAGGTAAAAAAAAAATTGCTCAACATAACTGAGCATCAGAGAGATGTAAATCATAAGCACAATGAGATACTATCTCATACCAGTTAAAATGGCTATTATTAAAAAGTAAAAAAAATAACAGATTTTGGCAAAGTTGTGGAGCAAAGGGAATGTTTATACACTGTTAGTTGGAATGCGAATTTGTTCAGCCTCTGTGGAAAGCAGTTTGGAGATTCCTCAAAGAACTAAAAATGAACTACCATTCGACTCAGCAATCCCAATATTTGGTATATACCCAAAAGAAAATAAATCATTCTATCAAAAAGACACCTGCACTTGTATGTTCATTGCAGCACTATTCATAATAGCAAAGACATGGAATCAACTTTGGTGGCCATCAATGGTGGATTGGATAAAGAAAATGTGGTACAAATAAACCATAGAATACTATGCAGCCATAAAAGAAAATGAAATCCTGGCCTTTGCAACAACATGGATGCAGCTGGAGGCCATTATCCTAAGTGAATTAACACAGAAACAGAAAACCAAATACCATATGTTTTCACTTACAAATGAAAGCTAAACACTGGGTATTTAAACACACAGACACACAGACAGGAACAAATACTCACTAGGAGCTACAAAAGAGGGGCAAGAGCTAAAAAACTATCGAGTATTATGTTGACTATTTGGGTGACAGGATCAACAGAAGCCCAAATTTCAGCATCAGGTAATATCTCCTTGGATTCTGTGCCAGACTAATAGACACGCTTCTCCTATTCAAGGCAAATCTTTCCATCTCTTCTCCTAGTCAATTTTCACCTGATTCCTCTGGAGAGTCTTTCTTCGTGGACGTTTAATTTCTAAAAGGTCGAAGGAAAGAAAGGAAGTCCACCCTTACGTCTTTTGCTAGCACCTGTACTCATTTCTCTTTTTCTTCATATCAAATCCTCCCCAAGGAATAATTTATAATCACTGCCTTCACTTCCCCAGTTCCTACTGTCTCTAATCCATGAAAATCTCACACCTTCTACTGAATGAAAATTCAATTTCTACTGAAAAAACAAGTCTTAGAAAAATTACTAAATCTATCTTAGTTAAATTTATGGATTATTTGCTAACTCAGCTGACCACTTTGTCACATCTCACAAATACTTACGATTTGTCTCCTTCTTATAACTCTCTTTCATTGACTTTTGAGATGTGAGTGCTCTCTGAGGCTCTTGACCGACTCTTACATTTCCTTCTTGAACCTTTTAAAAAATATATACTAGATTCTTCATCTCTTCTCCCTGAAATGATGAGTTTTTCAAAACTAATTTGTCTTTGATTTTTTTTCTTGGTGATTTCATCTCTTCCAGGGGTTTTATGATGACGATTCTTTCACTGATGATAATTGTCAATTATGATACTCCAACATTAAGTATGCAATCAACTAGCCACTGGACATTTCCACCCAATCAATGTTTCCTAAAAGGAATTCAATATTTTTACCCCAAATTCTGCTTTCCTCCTATGCTCTTTAACTTGGTGAATGCCATCACTAGATACCTAACACACTAGAGATAATTTAGACATATCTTTCACTCTGACATTGAATTAGCTCTCAAGCCCTGTCCACATCTATCTTCTCTGCCTCTGCTTAAATTCATGCTTTCACTCTTTCTCCTGTGGATTTGTCATCATTTTCTATTTTATTTTCCTGCCTCTAATACTAGGTCTTTTAAAACATTTACCAGGTCAGAGTAATCATTCTAAAACAAAATATGTATTTTTATTATTTATTAAGAAGTTATTATATGTCAGGTGTCATGTTAATTCTTTGCATTCATTGTTTCATTTGAGCCACACAACAACCCTATGGGGGAAATATTAATATTCACATTTTCAAGTGAAAAAACAAGTCTTAGAAAAATTACATTATTTGTCTAATGCCACAAAACTACTAAATGGGCAAATCAGCACTTAGTCTAAAGCCTGTGTGCTTTATATCCATCCATTAATATGGGTTCTCTATGGCTCAAAGGATAAATCCCAAATCCAGAGTATGCCAACTTCCCAAACACACATCACATTCTAATTTCTCCCTGCCTCTACATGAAACTCTTACCCTTCTCACACCTGAAGAATTGCCTGTTCCTTCTCCTTTACCCCCAGTGAACTCTGTAGAGACCTCTATGAGAGCACTGGTATAATTTTGTCAT